CCCATTAAATTAAATTACATTACATTAAATTTTACTCTCTTCATTACAACCACACATTCATCAAATAAAATAATATTACACACAAATCTAAAACTTTTCATTACTTTTCCACCACACATTATCCCTTCAATCACTATTCCGAAAATTTTCAACCTGAAAAAATGCCAAATAATGGGGGCCAAAGAGGGGCTTATTGTATCACTTCTTTTGTTGAGTAGTATTATGTAGGTTATATTGCTGCATTACTTGTGACGGTTAGGAATAATGCTTTGACACGTCAAAAGCTACACTAGTTTCAGTTCATTTACTTTCATATATAGAGTAGTACGGCTTCGTACGATTTTCAAAGATGTAGGGAGTCTATTTCTTGGATGTTAGACTTGAATCCTAATAGAAGTTTCTTCGAGACAAAATCAAATAAAATAAAATTCTGGCAATTCCCAAAATGTCTTGCACTGTTAAGGGATATATATCCAACTTCGATAAATGATGTTGACACGGACCAATTAATAAAGATTTTGGGCTACTCTTCTTAACAAAATTGACCTTTTAAGATGGAACCCCAAATTTTAACATAGTATCAGAGCCAGGTTATGCTCCAAAGAGCAATTCGATCCTGTTAAGACTCTAAAATGAGCACGTGAATATCAAGATTGGTCTGCTCAAATGAGCCACCATCTTGCGGTGGCGTGTTAAGGGATATATATCCCACATCGATAAATGATATTGACACGGACCAATTATTAAAGATATTGGGCTACTCCTCTTAACAAGGTTGACCTTTTAAAATGGAACCCCAAATTTTAACATGCACTCAAGTCTATTGCTATTAGATAATATTCTGCATGGGGCGAAGGGGTTGGAAAAACTGTACCACTGTTAAGAATCACGTATTCCGCAATAAATGATTTGAGAGTCCACACTTGAAAGGAGGATTGCAATGATAAATATGTATACGATGTCAAAATATCATTGTTATCTAGCTACCACTCGAACAACTCCTTATACCCCTTAGTTTCTTTAGGCTCTATTGTCGTATTCTATTGTCATATTCTTTCCAGTTTCTCCTCCTCTACTTTAAGTTGTTCTCATTCAAATTTATCTTGGTAATTTGCCTTCTTCCCTTGGCAACTCTAGTGGATACGTCATTGGATAGTGATATATTCACTGTTTATTTGTTCATTGGTTGTGTGACCATGGAGTGACAGAATGTTATCTGTTACCTTTTTCTAGGTATTATCTGGACACCAAGATAATGCATAATTTGCACTTGCAATGTGCCCGGCTGAACCCTTTGTGCTTTCAGGAGGTTTGAATATTTTATTCTCTCTTTTTTAATCATCTGCAATAGTTTTATTCTTCTGGCATTCTCTACTAAGCTTTGCTGTGAATTTACCATTCAGATTTTGACTCGATGAAATTTCTGACAGGAAAAAATAAATCTGTGGTGTTGTGGAGCATTCAGGATCATGTTTCAACATTGGCCACAGATTCAGGCCAGTTAACAGATTCTGCAGGTTCTGTTGTAAAAGCTGCTGATAATTCTTCTGTTGGTCCACGAGGGGTCTTTCAAGGGCATGATGATATAGTTGAGGATGTGCAATTTTGCCCATCGAGGTATCTTGCATGCACCATTAACTTGTTGGATTACTCATGTATTCTTATTATATAAACCTAACTTTTTGACCCACATCATTGTCTGCCACTTATCATTTTCTTCAAGGCTGCTTTAGTGATTAATTGTGGGGCCTTTTTCTTTTTTAATTCCTTTCCATTTTCTTTTCTTGAAGAACTTTGATTATGATGCGTCTTTTGAAAAGTCCCTAGGAAATTGTTGCATTTGTCTAGAATATTTTTTCTACTTTCCTTTTCTTCCCAAGTATGTAATGCTGTCAATGAGTTTTTGATATGGAATTTGAACCTGGCATATTTTGTCATGTTGATGAAGTTCACAGCAGTTTTGTATCGTTGGAGATGATTCCTGTTTGATACTATGGGATGCAAGGATAGGATGTGATCCCGTTGTGAAGGTTAGATGACCATTTTTCTTTAGTGCTTGATATTCTACAATTCTTCCATTCTTCGGGAGGATATACCAGAACATTCTTCAAACATGGACTTATTGACAGTTAGACTGCTGTTGGGCTCTAGAATTAGGTTATTACTGCACTCTTAGCAAGAGCTTTAATTCATTTATTGTGTACTGCACAATATTTTGAATCTTTCATTCTCCGTCAAGTGTTTTTTAAAAGGGCCATTTCCGCAAAATAGAAGACAGAGACTTGTGTGATTGACTGTGAAGGAACTTTCAAAATATTAGTCTCATTCGAAGAAGGAATTTTCTAGATGTCCTGATATTTATGTTTTAAGTGTAGTACTTACTCTAATTTGTGATGAGATATTAGTGCCTGAGGTTTGAAGCATTTTTTGGTTGCGTTTTCATCTTATATAACAGTTTAAGCATTTAGATCAAGTCGTAATATGGTATGAGAACACGTAAAGGTTCTGGGTTCAATTCTTGTCACCATCCATTATAATGAAATTTTGCACGTTTTAGACTTTGATGGGGAAAACAGCCCTACTTACATGTGAGGGTGTATTAAATATAATATTTAAATGATATATACGTGACTTTATTTGAAAACGCGAGCTTTTGGATCAAGTAGTTCAACATTTATAATATATATTTGCAATGTATACTACATTCCAATAAAATTACCAAATTGATGTACCCCGATCATCTTCCACAGATACATTTCAACTTCTTTATCATTGAGCAAGGCATAGGTTTGTCTCTCTTCAGAAGCAGTTTTTTGCTGTATTCCTACCTGTCTTTCTGCCTTCATTGACGCTTGATTATTCGTCAGTAGATTCTGTGTGGAGTTTTTGGTTGGAAATTGCTAAACTTTTGTCCATTTCAAGTTCAGTGCAGAATTTTGGAATCAAATTAGATCAGATTATTTCCCTTAACCTTTATGGACGGCTAACCTGTTCTTCCATTAGTCAATCCATTGAAATATTTGAATATTCCGTACTAGTTGAAAAATATTTTCTAGAATTTTTATGTATAGTCTAGATTTCTTCTTTATTTTATCAATGCTATTATTCTATTTTGTATTTCTTGGATTCTTCAAATTTTATTGACCACATAGACTTATTCTATATTCAGTTTAGTGAATTGTTTCTCACCTAGGTTACTAATCTTTGATTCATGAATAGGTTGAAAAGGCGCACAGTGCCGATCTTCATTGTGTAGATTGGAATTCTCACGACGAAAATTATATTCTGACCGGGTGGGTCTTTGTTAAGTATGCATACATCCCATATGATGATCGTAAAAGACTAGTCATATGTAACATTTGATAATGGTTCTTTCATTCTTTTGTGCAAGTTAAGTTCATCAAATAGTTAGGTTCTTATGCAATCTCATTCATTCAGGTCTGTGGAGCATACTATTCACATGTTTGATCTCCGCAATTGAAGCTCTGATGGAGTCGGATTGCCTGTCCATAAATTTGCAGGTCATACATCTGCTGTTCTCTGTGTTCAGGTATTGTATTTGCCTTTGCTGATTCTATTGTTTTGGACTATGCATGTCTAACCTATTTGTTTACTTAACTTTAACCAATTATACAAATTCCAGTGGTCGCCAGGCAAACACTCAGTCTTTGGGTCGTCAGCAGAGGATGGTCTGTTGAACATTTGGGATTATGAGAAGGTGGGAAGCTCCTGATTTTCGTAGAACTTTTGTTCTACTCTTTTCACTGTGGTATTAACTGCTAAAGGTTGATGTGTCAAACTTGTTGTCGAGAAGATAGTTTTGAGTGGGAGAATTATGTTAAAAATGTATTAGGGACTGTTCTCTTTACCATTTTGAAGTCGTTTTCTGTTTTCGATTTTCCAAAACAGTGAAAACGCGTTCTCTTTCTTATTTTCGAAAACGTGTTTTTGAAAACAAGTTAAAAATTACAAAGAAAATACAAAACGACAATTTGTCGTTTTGGGTATTTTCAGTTATAATCAAGCCAAAATTTTCAAAATGCGCTTTTGGTGTTTTCAAAACAATTTTTCAAAATACCAAAAAGAACACATTTTCAACAATCTCAAAATGAACACTCAAAACACAAAATCCAAAATGAATTCAAAACTCAAAATTGAAACACAAAGAGAACAACTCCTAAATTGTTCAAGCCCAACAACTATTCAATTCTAGAAAAACTCCCTTCTCACCTAACACGAGATTTTATTTATGGTTATCTTATTATACTGTGATGGATTTTTGTACATTCTCTTTTCTTGGTTACCGTATTGCAGGTTGATGAAAAGAAAGAAAGTGGGTCCAAATCTCCAAGTGCTCCTCCGGGGTTGATTTTCCAACATGCTGGCCACAGGTTAGAAAGTTCCAACCTTTCTCTTAGCAAAAGTGTACCATGTACCTTTTGTATTTTTGAATTTTATTCCTTTAGCTTGTGTGCTTTAGTGCAGGATCTTGTCGGGTAAGTGCCCTGATCTTACTCTCATGTACATATTGCTATTATTAAAGTATTGTTGTTCATAATATGGAGAGCAATGATTTGTATGCTAGTGTTACTGACTTGAATTTGTTTTGGTACATTATGTATTGAAACTGTTGGGAATTTTTTATAGAAGGAAATGATGCGTTAAATTGTTAAAATTTAAATGGCGTGTACAATTGAACTAAAAAGTGCAATTAACATTAGAAAACAGCAGATAATGGATTAATACTGGAGAACTATGTATCATATGCACCCTGTTGAAACAGAGACAAAGGTGCACCATACTTTATCATCTTAATGTTAAAACTACAGAACGGGATGATATAGTTCATTAATAACTTTAACGAGTTCTTGTGAACTTCATTTTTTAAAGACTTATCTAACATGTAATTCACATTGGAACTACTCTAGGAGACTTGCAAATTAATTTGAACATTATTTGAACTAAATGTTATATTATTTTGGTTCCAGAGATAAGGTTGTCGACTTCTACTGGAATGCCTCTGATCCATGGACAGTTGCTAGTGTATCTGATGATGGAGAATCCTCTGGTGGAGGTGGTACTTTACAGGTATTAGAGTATTGTCCTATTGATACAATTTTCTGCTGGCTTGCTTATTTATAATCTGACATCAAATTATGAAATTGTGTGTTGTTTGTTTTCAAGATATGACGTATGACGGATTTGTTGTATAGACCTAAGGAGGAGGTTATAGAGGAGTTGCAAAAATTTAAAGACAATGTTCTTGAATGTTCGAAGACTTGACAGAATTGGTTTCATACTTGTAAAAGAACTTGTTGTATGTCCAGATTTACTATACTATCTTCATTTAAATTAGGCGAGAAACGACAGGAGACTCGATGTTGCTTTGTTTAGTACCTTTTTTTTTTTTTTTTTGGGACACCAGTTAGCTGACTTTAGATGCTGAGTGATGAGGTCGTCTATATCTTTTGCTATTTTGGATCATTTTTCTTATGCCTTAGTTGGGTTTGTAACTTATATTTTAGTTGAGTTTGTAATATTGGATTGGCCTAAGCCCATCTCTAGTTGGTCATGTTTTCTATTTACTAGTGGGGATCGTGCGTTGC